ATCAACCACGGAGACCCCTTTCCTCATCCCTCCTTAGCAGTGCTCACGCAGGCTAGCATCTTCCAAAAGGAGCTTTGCCTAGATGACAGAGCAAGAAAAACAAAACAATAAACAGTGCTCTCTCTTGGCTTCCCTCCTCCCCGTCAAAAACACCCAAGGGAAAAAAAGACAACGCAAATAATACAAGACAGACAACTTCACAAAGTACTGATTTCAGATCCCAAGACTTTCTTCAAAGCAATGGAGAGATTTACCTCTCTAAGGACAAGAGGTTCTTGAAATGGGAGGGAGCCAGCCATGAATAAACCCAGAAATGAACGAGGCCATTCGGCGTACCTCGTGGCCCGTGTAATGAAAAATCATCCCAATCCATGCGTAGATGAGGAGACTGCATTCTGGTGTGGTGGGGTTACTTCTAAATTTCATCACCACATGGGTTCTGGTTGGTTCCGAGAAGGAACAAAGCTGAGAGAGGGAGTACCCCGTAAGTGTTCCAGCAGGGTGGTGAAGAAGCCATGCTTTTGGCTTTCCAAACATCCCCGGTCCTACTGTCCCCCTTCCAGCGTCCACATGGCCCCGCCCTGAGTGTTCCTCCCCCTCAGATTCAGTCTCCTGTCTAAGGGTGGGTCTGCTTTCGAGCTCAGTTGCTGAGCAGATCGGATCACTTTATAGCTATCATATATTCAGTTCCTAAGATACCATACCTTTTACAGACATTATCTTGTTTACTTTTTAGGAGAGCTCTGTAAGGTAAGAGCTACCTCCATTTGCAATGAGGGAACCAAGCCTCAGAGCAGATGAATAACCTGCCCAAAGACCCACAACCCCAAATGGAGGAACGGCCTTTGAATTAAGCCGATGTTCCTCACCACCACCACTCTGAGACCCGGCACAAGACTCAGCCCCCTCCTGGCGCAGATTCTTAATTTCCACCCACATCCTCAGGCCTTCTGTGACTCACTCCACGCTCCACCGCCCCTCTGAGGGAGTGCCCAGTGGCAATCTCCCCAGGAAGGCGTTCCAAACCCACCGCAACACCCCAATCACCTACGGTAGTCTCTTGAAGTCCCGTGCTGGCTCCGGCAGTTATCAGCACAGATTGGGTCTCAGCTGCAAGCCTCAGACGCAAGCCTCTGTGGGCTTCCCACTGCAAGCACCCCAAAGTTGCAACCCTGAAAGAACCCAATCTCTACCCTCTCTCTGACGGCCGAGGGCCGCTGAAAGAGAGTCTCCTACCAGTGATCTCTAATCTCAGTCTTTCCGTTCCCTCAACATAAGGGATGTTCCTTGTCCATCCCACCTCCCTCCTTCCCTCCTTCCTTCCCTCATCCCTCTCCACCTTTCTTTTGTAAACTCCAAGTACACAAAGTTGGTATAATCGCAATTCCCACCCGATTTATGACATGCTCCCCGGATTGCTCCCTCAATGGTCTGTTTGTTTAATAAGGTAACAATGAATCCACCACTCAAAATAAAATCTGCCAGTAAACCTGTATCAGACCAAATGATCTCCCCAGTGAACTATGTACTTGCCTCCCTAACCCAATGTAACGATTTTTATTCCTTTGATTTTTTTAAAATCTAGCTGTATAGTTTTTTCATCTATATGTATCCTTTAAAAGTACATTATTATTTTAACTTTTTGTGTACTATCTATTAATGAATTGTTTTAATTATATTGTTTGGATCAATATTACTGGATATAGCTGAGTTTATTCATCCTAGATGCTATGTAATAGTCAATGATATAAATATACCATCGTGTATCTGCTTATACTCTCCTGTTGATGAGGATGTGGGTCGTTTCCGGTTTTTAACCATGGATACTGGCTGCCAGAACATTCTTGTTCATGTGCATTGTACACGTGCAAGAAATGTTACAGGCACAAAGCTCTGAAGATGGGAAATAACTTGTACTGTACCCCTTTCCCAAGTGTGTCCCTTTGTGTTTCTGTTTGCTTTTGATTTTTTCCTGAGCATTCAGAGAAGTTGTCTTTTATATTTTGTCTCAAGTTTATGGTTATTATCTATGGGTGGGTTGGTCTTATAGGAGCTCTTTCTCCATTTCCAGAATCCAGCTGAAATTGAGATGAGGCTTGATTTTTTTTCCCATTAGGATACTCAATTTTCTAGAACCATTAATTGAAAAGACTGCTTTTTTATACTCCTCATTAGGGCTACGTTTGCCATCCAGTGTGAATCGGTTTCTGAGTTCTTTATTTTGCCTCATATTATTCAATTTTTCTATTTTTTCACTAATATTGCACTATCCTAATTCTGGCAGAACAAGTCTTCTCATCTTGTTCTTACTCAGAAGTATCTCGGCTACTCTTGGCCTTTGCCTTTCCATATAAATTTTAGAACAGATTGTTAGGTTCCAAATATTCCTTAAAAAACCCCAAATTTTAAAATTATTTCTATTTTTAACTTGAGGTATAATTGGCATATAACATTATATTAGTTTTAAGTGCACAATATAGTGGTTTGGTATTTGTATACATTATGAAATGATCACCACAATAAATCTAATTAACATCTGTCATCATAAGTAATTATAAAAATTTTTTTCTTGTGATGAGAACTTTTAAGATCTCCTAAAACCCAAACATTTTTTAAAAGATTTTATTTATTTATTTGAGAGAGACAGAGAGAAAGAGAGCACACACACAATTTGGGGGAAAGAGGCAGAGGGAGAGGGACAAGCAAACTCCCCACTGAGCAGGGAGCCCGACATGGGGCTCAATCCCAGGACCCTGGGATCATGACCTGAGCTGAAGGCAGATGCTTAACGGACTCGGTCACTCAGGTGCCCCAAGCCAAACATTTTTTAAAAGCCTTTTAGTTAAGATTGCTGTAATTCTTGAGGTTGATTTAGGGAGAATTGACATCTTTACAATTTTAACACTTGGAATCCATGAGCCTAGTTTCCTTCTCTTAATTTTGTTGTTCTTTAGTAATCTGAGTGATATCTTACAGTTTTCTAGTAGAATTCTTATTCATCCACTATTCCTATGTTTTTAAAACTATTTTTGATGCTATTATAAATAGCATATTTTAAAGATATCTTTTTAAAAAGATGGTATCTTTCAAATAATTTTATATTCTATTGTTGGTATGTAGAAATACAATAGATTTTTGTATATTGACTCTAAGTGGCAACCTTGTGAAACCATTTTTAATTCAAGTAATTTATTTGTGGGTTCTTTTGGATTTTCTACATACAAAATCATCATCTGTGAATAATGAGAGTTTTCTTGCTTCCTTTCCAATCTTGTACATTTTATTTCCTTTTTCTTGTCTCATTGCACTGTCTAGACTCCTCAGTTCCCTATTTAACAGAAGTTGTGATAGTGGGCCTCTTTGTGTTTTTCCTGACCTGTGTATGGCATAGTGGGGGAAAGGAGTCATGGTATTCTTTTTAGAGCTTTCAGCTGTCAATGATCTAGTTTAGTCCTGGTCCCACTGTCACCCAATCACACACCCAATCCCATTTTCTTGGGATTCTGCTTGGTTATGCTTTTCTTACTTTGGGCAGTTTGTTCAACCATCCAGTCTTTATCTCTAGAACAACAACAAGCCCACCTGGTTGGGCCCATGAACTCTGCACACTGGAAGAATAACTCCATTGGTATAAATTCCTGCATCTTCCATTCCTCTAACAGCCTGGCAGAAGTATTCGCTAAATACGGTTGCTCATCCCTGCTTGGTTTTCATGTGAGACTGTTTGCCCTTACCTGTCTTAATGCCACTTTGCTATCTGCATCTTGCACTGGGAGCTGTAGGCCTCTATGCCTGCACCATTAGGGGCTAGGTGGTGGGGCTCGTTTTCTCTAGTTTCCTGTACCACCTGTGGAGGAGGTCACTGCTTGTTTCAGCCTCAGTGCTCAGTGTATTGAGGACAGGACAAGTCCTCCATTCACTCCACATGGTCCATGCCTAAATTGCAATGTTTGTTTTCCCCAGCAGCATAATGTTGCCTTTCCTTCTTCTAGAGGCACAGGAAAATAATGCACACGCAAGCAAATGACCTAACTCCTTCTAATTTTTGTGACTTCAGTGTACTAAGAAGGATACAAGGCAGCAATCCAGAAGCATTAAGGAATGATGTTTAGTCTGATAGCAGTCTGCCCCTAATCATTGCAGCTGCCTGAAAAGTTGACTCATGACCTCAGTGGACTTATCACCGCCGCCGCCCTCCGCCCCCCGCCCCCCCGCCGCCCCGCGCCTCGGTATTTGGAGAGTCACATTGTATTGTAACGCTTTGTTTGAACACGAAAGTGTTTCTATACACTAACTTCCTAGTTGACGTGTCCTTTTGTTCATAATCAGCCTCTGATTTCACATTCCAGTCAGTTGTCAGGAGTGGCCGGACTCTATGATCACATCACTTTTAAAACAGTATTTGAAGTCCATGCATGTACATTGTCTCCTAGCAAACACATCTATTGCTGTCAAACAAAGCCTGGTATTTGATAAAATTTGTCTTTGTTTATTTACTTGAGGCAAAGGGCCCTTTCATTGTGTCCCAGGGTGTGCTTTTTAATAAAATACTGCCTTTACTATTAGGACCCAGGAGAATGAGTCAAGAGGCTGGCAACCACCTGACAAGAAAATATGATCGGATTGATTCATTAATAATAACTTGGAGTTGCTTCTTTGATAAACATAGCGTCAAGAGGCTGGGTTGACTGCCCTTTGCTTTACGGTTCTCCATGCCTGGCCCAACTGTTATTCCAATGCCAGCACCTCTTGATTTCAACTATTAACTCATTATGTGTTCCCTGACTTCACTTTAAACATCCTAAGGGCAGAGACTGTATCTTATTGCTCTTTATATCTCAGCGCCTAGTGAGGCTCCTGGCACCGAAGAGGCGCGAAATAAATTGCTGAATGAATGAATTGCCCCACGCTGGAGGTCCATGAGCGCACCGCCAAGGAAGGGTTGAGGTCCTAACCGCATGATTCAGGCACAGGATTATGAAGCTAGTCTTGATCAGTTACTTAATTAATTAATTTAATGAAGTCTAGAGTCATGCTGGAAATGAGGCGACCTCGGTAACGTCTCTGATACCCCTAGTAAAACTCCCACATTCTTGCCTTCTGTAGGCCAGGAGGCTGGGTCATTATTGAAGTTCTTCATCTTACATTGCAACCAAGGACACGTCTGTAGCAAGGACACCAGCTTTTAGCTTTCAACTGGAGAAGCTGTTTCACCTCTGGTTTCTTGAAATTCCTTGACTATAAAATGAAAATGTACAGTCGGATTAGATCAACATATACTTTTATATTTCTATAAAATGAAGGAAATACTTAAAGGTGATTGTACATCTCATTGGCTACATTCTAAACACCACATGCTTTTTCCGGGCTTTTACCATGAATGATAGAGTTTTTAGTCTAAGAGCCTGAGGCAGTGAACCCTCAGCCGTTCTATCCAAGGTGTCAGACTCACAGGTGTGCCAAGATTAGCCTTTTTCCAAAAACTGCATTTGAATCACAAAAGCTGCTTTTGAATCTTGGGAAGAGGGCAGGTCAAGGGGGACTTAAAGATTTTGTTCTGAACTTCTGCTGTGGGCTGAGTTTGTGTCCCCCACCCCCCAAATTCATATGTTGAAGACCTAACCCCCAGAGTGACTGTATTTGGAGATGGGGCCTCTACAGAAGTAATTAAGGTTAAAAAAAGGTCATAAGTGTGGGGCCCTGATCCAATAGGATTAGTGTCCTTGGAAGAAAGACACCAGTGAATGAGCTCACTCTCTCTTTGTGCGCTCAGAGGAAAGACCACATGAGGACAAAACCACTGACTGCAAGCCAGGGAGAGAGAACCTGCTGTAATCTTGACCTTGAACTTCCTAGCCTCTAGAACTATGGAAAAAGCAATTCCGTTGTTTAGGCCACTGTATATGAGGTATTTTGTTATGGCAACCTGAGCTGACTCAGGTTCTAATGTACACTTCTATAGTGTTTGATATTTTACATCAAAAATGTATTTTTGTATTATTTTTGTCACCAAAAAAAGCTAATAAATATAACCCACATCCACTGACAACTTCACTCTACCTCACCCCAGAAATGAAGTAAATCATTCTGGGGTAGATAATATCCTGCATTATTTTCAAAGCACGCTGGTTCCATTTATAAGTACAGAATAGTTTAATGGCACAAACTGTGAAAATTGGTAATATTTTTTTATCTTTGCTCTTAGACCAGCGGAGGTCTGGGATTCCAAGCCAGGACTGAGGAGCCCTATCCATGAATCTGAGGCTTTGTCTTTGAGACAGGACTGGGTGACTCTGCACTGCTTAGGGTGATGATCCCAGAGGCAAAATTTGTGAGGGTGGGTGAAGAAAGTTACTATGAGCATTCACACTACATGCTTTTAAGGAACTACTGCAATTAAGTCTACCTGGGGTTGGGATGGCAGACTGAGGGTTGAGTGTGTGAATCTTTAATTTTGTGTTGCCATGGAAATTTAATGGGCTGCTTCCACCAAACTGTGCTCAATGACTACAGACTTTATGGGAGATGACAGATTGAGGCAAATTCTCTGTTACTCCTTCATGGAGAGAGAGGTGAAGTGGTAATAACTCACCCAGTGAATCCGGGCTTGGCTTAGTGATTGGCTTGACCAAACAGGACACAAAAAAAGTGTTATTGTGGGATTTCTAAGAAGCTTTGCAGCTTTCACCTGGGTCTCTTGGTCTCTGGGAGCCCTGAGCTTCCCTGTGAAAATTACAACTACTCTGAGACCCTCTAGTTAGAGATACACTTTGATACACAGGACTGTTTGATTCAAGCCTTCCGGGCTTCACTGCCGAGGAGCCAGCCATGAGAGTAATGATGTCTTGGATCCTCCGGAGTGGCTCAGCCACCTGCAGAATCCCGTCACATGACCTTGGTCAAGCCATGTGCAACAGAAGAATTGCCCAGCTGAGCCCTGCCCCGGTACCTGACCTACACAATCATGAGATAGGACGCAATGCCTCTATGACATCACTAAGTTTAGGGACAGCTTGTGATTCAACAATAGAATACCAGGACAACCTTCATCTGGACATCAATGTCAAGAGGATAATAATGAACTTGCCAAATCAATCTACTACTGTACAAGTTGATTCTGCTGAAGATTTCTTAGTTGCCTTTGACCTGGAGAAGTCAGACTTAATCTATCAAGTAAAGGAGGAAAACAGAGGTGGTCAAGCCTGCAGGGGGAGACTGTCAGTGCAAAGGGAAGGCTTAACAGCTGGAGAAATGCTGTATCTGACAGCCGCCTCCCCACCAACCTTATGACATTAAATATGGTTTTGCAGGGAGGATGGAGAAGTTAGGAGCCTCTATGCATAGCTGAGACTACTCTGTTGTAAGCTCTTCTCATTCCCAGTAATGGGCCTTCATTTTCAATCCTGAAAACAAGTTCGCCTTTTTTTCAGTCACTGCCTAGAAAATTAAGTTTTCTTTTCCAGATTTTCTGGGAGTAGCCAGTCAGCCATATACCCTTTGCTCTCCACAGGAGAGAGACAAACTTTATATGACCACGAATGCCACTTTTCATCTGTACAATTATGGTTTAAAGGAAATTCTTTAAAAAACCAATGCTTCAAATCTAGAGTATTAGAAGATCTCAGTTCAGGGCGCCTGGGTGGCTCAGTTGGTTAAGCGACTGCCTTCAGCTCAGGTCACGATCCCAGAATCCTGGGAGCAAGTCCCACATCAGGCTCCCGGCTCAGCAGGGAGCCTGCTTCTCCCTCTGACCCTCTCCCTTCTCATGCTGTTTCTCTCTCTCTCTTTCAAATAAATAAATAAATAAAATCTTAAAAAAAGAAGATCTCAGTTCAAAAGACAAATACACAGACTTCAAATATTTTATCTTCCTTGTTAATATTTGTCTGGTGTCAGGAACGTTCTAGAGTCCCTAAACATAGTCCTTGTTTTAGAGATTATATTCAGGATTACATTTCTCTTTCCTTTTAAAATCTAAATTTGGGGTTTTATTATTTTGAAATATATGTGAATAAATTATCTTCATTGCCCTGAGACAGTATTCTGTTATTTAATGAGAGCCAATTGCACATCTAACAATGATACTGTTAAAAACAAAACAAAACAGAGTAGCAGCAGAAGACATCCCTAGAAGACCCAAAAGCTTTACTGAAAAATTAACATGTAACAAAGGACTTTGATGACATTTATTTGGGAGTGGTCCTGCCTCCTTTGCTTTAGCCATGAGCTTTTCACTTTCATCTTTTTGGGGGGATGTGTTGCTTAAGGAAAATATTAGTAATGTCTGCAAAGACAGATTAATAAATTCCATAGCCAACCAGACTCCTACTCAACCTGATGAATCAGTGGTTTTGTGGTTTCTGACATCAGCAGAGCCCATCAATTAAACTACATACTGCAATGAATGAGTTTTTAATTATAAACACTCTGAATAGGACACTATCATAGAGAATAAACAATATGTATTAAAAAGGCAGGTAGGAGCAGCACAACGTAAGGAACGCTCAACCGAGAATCACACGCTCTGCGTTTGAGTTCCCTCTCTGCTTGGGTTCCAGCTTAATTTTTGGAGCCTCGGTCTTATCATCTGCAAAATGGTCATAGTGCCACCGATCTTAACAAACTTGCGAAGTTGTTGTGAAGATTAGAATGAAATGAGGTGATGCAAATGAGTGGTAAAGTGTTATTTTTCAGAAAAATATCTGTTAACTGGCCAAACCAAAGGTAGAGACAGAGGTGTATCTGGTTCCCCTGGGAGAGTGCGGGGCAGATGGCTACATATTAGGTCTAGTGCCGAGAACCCTCCAGAACCCCTCAGAGGTTGCGTTGGCTGGAACTGTTCATGCTGTTTTCCCCCACAGGATGTTTTCCATGTTAAGGCACATTGTAAGGCTTGTTTACCCTGCCTGGTCTGTAGTCACTCTGATGCTCAACACCCTTTCTCATCCCTCCCAGGACTCAGTCATCAGACTGAAAGGTCATGTCATATTGTACTTCTTTAAAGCTTCTTTATTAGGATATATTCCACTGTGCCATACAATTCACCCATTGAAAGTGTGCAAGTCGATGTTTTTTAGTACATTCACAGAGTTATGCAACCATTACAACAATCAATTTTAGGCCATTTTTATCACTAAAAGAAACGTTGTTTTTTTTTTAAAGAAAGAAACGTTATATTCATTAGCAGTCAAGCTGCATTATACCTCAGCTGCCTCACCTCCCCTCAGCCCTGAGCAGCCACTAATCTACTTTCTGTCTCTACAAATTTGCCCATTCTGGACATTTCACATAATCATGTAATGTTTTATGATTTTTTTTTTTTGTGAAGGTCTTTTGTGAAGGACTTCTGTCACTAAGCACCATGTTTTCAAGGTTCATCTATGTTGTAGCATATATAAATGGTCTATTCAGTTTTATCGTCGAATAATATTACATTGTATGGCTAACTACATTTTATTTATCCATTGATCAGTTGATGGACATTGAGGTTGTTTTCTATAATGTAGCTATTATGGATACTATTGTCATGAACAGTTATGTAGAAGTTTTTGTGTGAACATAGGCTTTTATTTTTCTTGTATATGCCTAGGAGTGGGATTGCTAGTGATATGGCAACTCTCTGTTTAACCTTCTGATGAATTCTTCATCTGTGGAATGATGATGTAATAAGGGTCCTAGCTAACTGTTTAGCTATTTTCCAAAGTAACTGTAGCATTGTAAATCCCTATTAGCATATATGAGTGTGACAATTTTTCCACATCCTCTGGCTAACTTTTGTTATTATCTGTCTTTTTGGTTCCAGCCACCATAGTTGGTATGAAATGGTATTTCACTGTGGTTTGATTTGCATTTACTTGTTAGCTAATAGTTTTGAGCTTCTTTTTAATGTGTCTTTTGTGATCAATTGTATATCATCTTTGAAAAAAATGTCTGTTCAGATTCTTGTGCTTACTTTTAATTGGGCTGTCTTCTTATTGAGTTGTAAGAGTTCTTTTTAAAATAGGGGAGTGTGAGTCCTCCAACCTTGTTCTTTTTCAAGATTATTTGGTTGTTTAGGGTCCCTTGCATTTAAGTATTAGTTTTAGGATCGGTTTGTTGATCCTAAAAAACCCAGCTGGGATTTCTATGTTTATTGTGTTGAATCTATAGATCGATACAGAGTTTTGCCAACTTACCAATATTAAGCCTTTGGAAACATGAGCATAGGATGCTTTTTCATTTATTAAGATCTTTGTTTCAATAGTGTTTTGTAGTTTTTAGTACAGAAGTTTAACTTGTTAAGTTTATTCCCACGTACTTTTTGCTTTTTGTTACTATTGTAAATTGAGTTGCTTACTTAACTTAATTTTCAGATTGTGTGATAATAATGTGTAGAAATATGATTAATTTTTGTATATTGATCTCATATCCTGCAATCTTTCTGAACTCATTTTTTAGTTCTGATTTTTTTTGTGGATTCCTTAGAATTATCAGTATACAAGGTCATATCATCTTCAAATAGAGAAAGTTTTACTTCTTTTCTAATTTGGACGCCTCTAATTTTTTTTTTTTTAAATGACTAAATGTCCTGGGTAAAACCTCCAGTACAAGGTTGAACAAATGTGGAGTATTTTTAGTCTTTCACTGTTAAGTATAATCTTAGCTCTGAGGTACTTTATCAGTTTGAGGAAGTTTCTTTGTAGTTTATTGAGGTTTTTATTTTTTAAACATGAGGTGTTGAATATTGTCAAATGCTTTTCCTTTCTCTATTGAGATGATCAGATGGCTCTGTCCTTTCTTTTATTGACATAGTGTATGACATTGATGGTGGAACCAAATTTGCTTTCCTGGGATACATACCACTTTGTCATGATGGATAATCTTTTATATGTGTTGCTGGATTCAGTTTCTTAGTATTTTATTGAGGATTTTTGTGTTTATGTTCATAAGAGATATTGATCTATAGTTTTCTTTTCTGGTGATATCTCTGTCTGGTTTTAGTATCAGAGTAATATTGGCCTCACAGAATGAGTTGGGAAGTGTTTTCCCCTCTTCTATTTTTGAAAGTGTTTGTGAAGATTTGGTATTAATTCTTTAAATGTTTGGTAGAAGTCTGCAGTGAAGTCATCTGGGCCAGGGCTTTTCTTTGTGGGGAGTTTTAATATTATTAATTCACTCATGTTTGTTAAAGGTTCTACTCAGATTTTCTATTTCTTCCTAGATTTTGTCTTTCTAAGACTTCTTGTGTCTTTCCAAATTTATTCCATTTCATCTAATTTGTTGGCATACTATTGTTTATAATATTCCCTTACAATTCTTTTTGCCTTTATAATCCATTACTGCTATTAGGTTGGAAGTCATGTTCCTCTTTTATTCTTGATTTTAATAATTTTAGTCTTCTCTCTCTCTTTTCTTGGTCAGTTTAGATAAAGTTTTGATTATTTTGTTGATCTTTTTAAAGAAACAACTTTTGATTTTGTTGATGTTATCTGTCAATTTCTATTACGTATTTCACTAATTTCCATTCTAATCTTTATTATTTTCTTCCTTGTTGCTTTAGGATTAAGTTGCTCTTCCTTTCTTCAGTATCTTAAGGTATAAAGTTAGGTTACTGGGTGCCTGGGTGGCTCAGTTGGTTAAGCAACTGCCTTCGGCTCAGGTCATGATCCTGGAGGCCCGAGATCGAGTCCCGCATCGGGCTCCCTGCTCAGCAAGGAGTCTGCTTCTCCCTCTGATCCTCTTCTCTCTCGTGCTCTCTATCTCTCAAATAAAGAAATAAAATCTTTAAAAAAATAAAGTTAGGTTACTGATTTGAGATCTTCATTCTTTCTTAATATATGGTTTATTGCTATCCATTTCCCTCTAGGCACAGCTTTAGCTGTAAGCCATGTTTAGTTATATTGTGTTTACATTTTTATGCCTTATAAAATATACTGAATTTGTCATTA